TACAAGGGGTGCTCAAACCTACAACCACAATTGGGACTGAATTTCATCGCTAAGTGAGGCCGTCACTGAATTGTGTGCTATGTTTACTGCCTTTTCTGCCGTGATTGTTACGTGAATCGCTGTGCTTGTTAAGTGAATCATATGGTCGTTAAGCAAACCCAGCTTTCCCCATTGGCTTGACTTTTTTGGAAGTCAGTTGGGAAAGTCACCAATGGTTATCGTGTGACCCTGGGAGCATGGCAATGATCACAAATACATGTTGGTTTTCAAGCATCCCCCCCCCCAAAAAAAAATTATTTCCCCATGTTTTATTTATTTTGTTTATATTACTTTTAGTTTCCACTGAATAGTGTGAAATCTGGGTTTTAGACAATGAAAATCCACATGATTGTTATTATATTTATCACAATAATAATATTAATAATGTAACTATATATCAATATAAAGGGACACAGTGGCTCGGTGGCTAAGACGCTGAGCTTGTCGATCAGAAAGGTCGGCAGTTGGGCGGTTCGAATCCCTAGCGCCCCGTAACGGTGTGAGCTCCCGTTCCTTGTCCCAGCTTCTCCCAACCTAGCAGTTCGAAAGCATGTAAAAAATGCAAGTAGAAAAATAGGGACCACCTTTGGTGGGAAGGGAACAGCCTTCCGTGCGCCTTCGGCGTTGAGTCATGCTGGCCACATGACCACGGAGATGTCTTCGGACAGCGCTGGCTCTTTGGCTTTGAAATGAAGATGAGCACCGCCCCCTAGAGTTGAGAATGACTAGCGCATATGTGCGAGGGGAACCTTTATCTTTACCTTATATCAATATAATTACAATAGTGCATAACATCTTCATCATCAAAATCTCCACATAAGCATTTCCTCTTTTTTATATCTCCTCCTTTCTAACTTCTGTTTCTATTGTCTAACTGTGGGTAAAGTACATCCCACGTCAAGAAATATTCAGTTTCTTCTTTATCCTTAATCATGTGCGTTAATCTATCCATTTCTGCGCATTCTAATATTTTCTTAATTACACTCTCATCTGATGGCATTTTATCATCAAGCACCCCCCGAATTTCGACGGTGCGGCTGTGTGGATGCTGCGTCAGTTGTAAGTGTGAGGACAGGATACGAGTCGCCTTTTTCAGTCCCATCGTAACGTAGAACGAATGGTTGTAAGTTTAGGAGTCTACCTCCAAAACAGGAGATGAATACAGGTTCTGAAATGACCACAATGACGTGTTTCAGTAGAAAGAGGAAGCAATCAAGATTCTTCCTGCTTGGGGAAAAGACGGAAGAAAAAAGAAACAAGTTAAATGAAATAAAATCTCTAGATCTGAGCTGATTGTGTACAGGTTGTCCTTGACTTACAACAGTGCATTTAGTGGCCGTTTGAAGTTGCCACAACACTGAAAACGTGACTTATCACTGTTTTTCATACTTGCGTCGTTGCAGCCATCCCAATGGCCATGTCATCAAAATTCAGACGCTTGGCAGCTGACTTATACTTATGATGGTTGCAGTGCCCCTTTTCGCGACCGCCAGTGTCCTTTTTTGCGACCGTCCGACAAGCGAAGCCAATGTCCGATTCACTTAGCAACCGGGTTATGACCTTCACAACTGCAGCGACTAACACCTGGGGCAAGAAAGGTATTAAGAGGGGGCAAAGCTGACTCAACAAACATCTCACTCAGCAACAGAAATTTAGGGTTCAATTTTGGTCGCAAGTCGAGGACTTCCTATGTTGCGAAAATTTTAACCTTTTAAATTCCACATGGCTTTGATTCTTTGGGATCAAGATTCAGGACAAGGTGTTATGCCAGTAATTGCATCCAATTATCTATCTATCTATCTATCTATCTATCTATCTATCTATCTATCTATCTATCTATCTNATATGCTGACTCTCTGTAAACCGCTTAGAGAGGCCTGAAAGGCCTATGAAGCGGTATATAAGTCTACTGCTATTGCTATTGCTATTGCTAAGTGAGACATTTGTTAAGCGAATTTTGCTCCAATTTAGGACTTTTCCTGCCACTGTTGTTAAGTGAATTACTCCAGTTGTTAAGTTAGTGACACGGTTAAATGAATAAGGTTTCCCCATTGACTTTGCTTGTTGGAAGGTCACAAAAGTGGATTACACAATCCCAGGACACTCTGTCATAAATATGAGTCAGTTGCCAAGCATCTGAATTTTGATTATGAGACCATGGGGATGCTGCAGCGATCGTTAAGGGTGAAAAACAATCACAAGTCATTTTTTCCAGTGCTGTTTTTAACTTCGGTCACTAAATGAACTGTTGTAAATTGAGGAACACCCCCCCCCCCCGTACATTCTTTTGAAATCAATCTTCCACATTCCCCATTTGGTTTAAACAGAGTTAGGGTTAAAAGTTAGAAATAAACCCAATGCCGAATAAGCATGTTTTGGGGCTTATTTCCAATAACGGAAAGATCTGTTTAGCTTTGTGGATCTGATAACTCTTCTAGATATCTTAACACATAACTGTTCTACCCACAAGATTATTCATTTCAGTTATCTTCATTGTTCGTTCATCCACCCTAGAGCAAATTGAACTTATCCTTTTATCACTGTGTTGAAGAAGTTAACATTTAGTGTTGGGGCATTCACAGAGCGATAAGCCGGTGCCAGTGTCTTGATAAACTTCAGAGTGGTGAAATGAAGCTTACCATTTCTCCAATTCCAATCCAGGGACCTTGTTGGGAGCGTCGCCAAAGTTTCTTCCAGCTCATAATAATTTGGCCTTTATTCTTCTGTTCAGATTAATAGAATAGAATAGAATTCTTTATTGGCCAAGTGTGATTGGACACACAAGGAATTTGCTTTTGGTGCACATGCTCTCAGTGTCCATAGAAAGACAAGACACATTCCGTCAAGAATCATAAGGTACAACACTTAATGAGAGTCACAGGGTACAAATATGCAATCAGGAAACAATATCAATATAAATCGTAAGGATACAAGCAACAAAGTTACTAAGTGGGAGGAGATGGGTGATAGGAATGATGAGACTAATAGTAATAGTAATCCAGTCTTAGTGAATAGTTTGACAGTGTTGAGGGAATTAGTTGTTTAGCAGAGTGATGGCGTTTGGGGAAAAACTGTCCTTGTGTCTAGTTGTCTGGTGTGCAGTGCCCTATAGTGTCATTTTGAGGGTAGAAGTTGAAATAATTTATATCCAGGATGCGAGGGGTCTGTAGATATTTTCCCAGCCCTCTTTTTGACTCGTGCAGTGTGCAAATCCTCAATGGAAGGCAGGTGGGTAGCCATTGCTTTTTCTGCAGTTCTGATTCTCCTCTGAAATCTCTGTCTGTCTTATTGGGTTGCAGAACCAAACCAGACAGTTTTATATTTAAAACAAAATTACAGGTGGCCCTTGATTTACGGCCCCAACTGAGACCAAAATTTCCATTGCTAAGCAAGGCGTCTGATTTTATGAACCTTTTTTGAGGGGGGGGGCAGGGTTGTGAAGTGAACCACTATAATTGTTAAGTGGATCATGCAGTTGTTAAGTGAATCTGATTTACCCCCATTGATTTTGCTTGCCGGAAGCCAGCTAGGAAAGTCGCAAATAGGAATCACATGACCCTGAGACGCTTCAACAGTTAAAAATACATGTCGGTTGCCAAGCATCCGAATTGTTATTGTATGCAGGATCCGATCTGGGCCCAGAGGTTTTGTCTTCCGAGCTTTCAGACTCACGCTGGGAGTCCAACCTGAGGGACTTTCTCTCTAGCCATTTTATCATATGACCGCGGATGCTGCAACTGTCATATGTGCGAGGACTGGTTGTAAATCTCTTTTTTCAGTGCCATTGTAACTTCAAATGGTCACTGAATGAATGATTGTAAGTCCAGGATTAGGACGTAGATCAGGCAGATACTACCAGGAATTGAATTAGATGTCCTTTGGGAAGCCCTTCCAATTTATGTATTTATTTAGCGTACGGCATAGCATACATGGAGTAGCAGTTCATATTAATATATTATTTGAACTTCGGTTCAAATTCCAATGCCTTGGCCATCTAACCATTGAAGCGCAGCATCGTTTAGCCCTTTCAATGTTAAGATAGGAGTAAAATGCTAAATGAATTTAGCATTTTAGGACAACGGCTAAAATGGCATTTTAAGACAACTCTACAGTGGAGAAAGAAATCTACAGTTGGACAATTTCTTTACCAACTAAAATGACATAAAAGATTCCAAGCTTTGAATCCTCCAGAATTTTTCATCGTGCTTAAGAAGTGCAGCATTCTGTCGCCCCGCCCAAGACAAGAATTTCATCATTCATCATTTGATTACTTTTCAAGCCAGATATATGTAGCTGCCCACTGTTCCCCCCCCCCAGTATAATTTTGACTATTGTGCAGTGTTTTGAATTACTTTTGAAAGTGCCAGAACCACATAGAAGTTTGAATGCAGTTTATCTGTTTAATTAAAGCATAGCCACTTTTGGTAAGAAACAGAGAAGTGAACGTAAGCTATGATGGTTAGGATTATATGGGATTCTAAAAGTTATTTATTTATATCCCATTTTATTGTTTCTACAAATAACTCTCAGGGTGGTGGTGAATATATTTAACACACCTCCCTTCTCCTTTTGTTAACTTTAGAATAAGAGTTGAATGTATTTTTTTCATCTATACTGAAGGAAGCCAACAGCCACTTTTCCACCTTTCCTTTTTCTTTCAATATTGTAGTGTGATCTTGCTTTTCATCTGACTTTCTTTTCAACTTTCTTTCACTTTGCTTTCTTTCGATTCATTTTTTTGAAATTTAACAAAATATTTTGTTAAAATAAATTTCATTAAAACATCAACAAAAGGGTCGTGCAGCTGTAGCAGGAGTATTTCTTCCAAGTTGCAAAAGAACGTGGCTATTTTAATGAACCCCAGATAGCTGTTATGTTCATCCTTTTCAGTTTTCAAGGACAACCTCCCAATGCAATTTGAAGCTTTGCGTAGACCGAATCTCAACATAAATCTTTGGTAGTCTTACAGGGACCCACTATGGAGACAGATGGAACAGAGAAAGATTGGCAGTTCTTGGCTTAATGTCTGATGGCTGAAGACCCCCTCTGCATACCGGATTTCCCCCATCGGAGNCTCCAGGACTGGCCCAGGTTCCTCCCCAACCCTCCTCACTATCCAAATCTGCTGCCAGATCCACTTGGGTCTCAATGTCAGTAAAGATTTTCCAGGATTCCAGGGCAATAAATCTTTTCCCCAGCTTGGAAGGAATAAAACTGGGATTCTAAGATTCTAGACCTCTTCGTTTCAAATATAGAGCAATTGCTGAGTTAAATGTAGTTCAGTCTTTTGCTCAGTGGGGTATAGGTAGACTCCTGCCCTCCCAGTGTAGGTAGTCCTCGACTTACAACCCCTTCATTTAGTGACGGTTCAAAGTTACTACAGCACTCAAAAAAGCGACATGGTTTTTCACACTTACGACCGTTGCCGCGTGTGATCCCCTCTTGCGACCTCCTGACAAGCAAAGTCAGCCCGATCCACTTTACAACCCTGTTGCTAACTTAACAACGTGATTCACTTAAGCGTTGTGTCCTGGAAGGTCGTAAAATGGGGCAAAACTCACCTAACCACTGTCTTGCTTAGCAACGGAAATGTGGGTCGTAAGTCGAGGACTACCTGTAATTTTGGGCTGTGTGTGGTCCATGGCTTCAAAAAAAAAACCCTAAGATGCTAGTCCTCATGGTTTTACCAGGCTTAGGAAGGTCCAAATCGACCTATTTCATTCAGCTCCGTGCTTACGATTGACGGAATCTCTCCATCTTTGAAGGCAAGTCTTGGCTTCTGGATTCCTTTTGATCTCCGGGGGAATCTTAGTGGGAGGGAATCTCTGGCAAAATGGATTTCTTTCTTTTTTCTTTATTTTTTTTAAAATCTCGATTCCTCTTCCTCGGCAGTGCAAGGGGCAGCCATCCGTCCATCTGAAGCGGGATTTCTTCCTCTCTAACTCTTCCCGGGCCCGATCGGAGCAGTTCATCAACCTGCGCGAAGTGAGCACTCGTTTTAGGCTGCCCCCCGGGGAATACATCGTGGTCCCGTCGACTTTCGAGCCCAACAAGGAAGGAGACTTCGTAATTCGCGTGTTCTCGGAGAACAAAGCTGGGACGGTGTAAGTCATCCCGTCTTTTTTTAAGACGATTAGAGGAATGGAGGCTAAAGCATACAATGAACGGTTGCAGGAACTGGGTATGTCTAGTTTGATGAAAAGAAGGACTAGGAGAGACATGATAGCAGCCCTCCAATATTTGAGGAGCTGCCACCATTCAGCCCCCCACCCCCAAAAAAAGTACTTATAATCTGGATTCAAAGTTTTGACGGCTGCCAAACTCCACCCCTTGCGATCATGCAATCATATTACGCTAAGCAAATTTACATCCTACTGTCACAAGATTGCAAGTTAAATTGTTTTGCTGGAAACGCAGCTTCAATTCTGGTTTTTCTGGAAGAGATGATGATGATGATGATGATGATGGAATTGGAATTGGAATTTATTGCACTTATATGCCGCCCTTTTCCTCGGAGGGGACTCAGGGCGGCTCACAATCCAAATGATGATCTTTATTGGCCAAGTGTGAACGGACACACAAGGAATTTGTCTTCGGTTTTTTAAATTGCAGACAATTAATTATTGTGATGTTCACCTTACAACAACTGTGTTCGCTTAACGACCGCTGAATTAAAAAAAATAGTCCTAAAATCAGACCAGTCTCGCGGTGACCTGCTTAATGGCCAGGCTGGCTTATGACCATAATTCCAGGCTCAATTGTGATCGTAAAAGGGGGGCTATCTGTATTTTTGGAGGAGGTTATTTCTAAGTGTCCTTTTGTTCTTTTGTTTTTAATTTCCGTCCTTCTGCAGGGAGATGGATGATCAGATCCAAGCCAACCTTCCCGATGAGGTAGAAGCTTCCGGTGGCAAATTTTTCTCGACATTTGGGGGAATTCAGGAGCAGGAAATAAATGTCCTTTCTCCATTGAAAGGAGAAATACACATCTTCCTTCAAAGGGAGACGTATTTCCAAGACGATCCACTTGAGATAAGATGGGGTTTTTTTAATCCGGCTTCCACCGTTGATTTTATCCATCGGAAGCCAGTTGGGAAATCCAGTCCTCCTTTTCTGACGCCGTCTCCTTTCCCCCGTTTCTCTAGAAAATACTTTCGGAAAGAGAGATTGACGAAGGCTTTAAACAGCTGTTTAAGCAGCTGGCAGGGGCGGTAAGTATGCCAAGATGAAAAAGAGCGCCAATTCTAAAAAAAAAATTAAAATTAAAGAATTAAAACTAAAACTTGAGCTGCCAGTAAAAGGGGAGAGAAGGAGGTGGGAGATCATTTTGCCTCTATTTAAATTTGTCTACTTAAAGCGAGAGAGATTCTAATCATTGTCATATAACAACCCCATAATCCCTTGCGGAGTGGAGTCTGGGCAACTTAATGGAGCTTGCAGAGTGTTTTACTGGCCAGATGCCTTTCCTGTTGCCAGGGCGGAGTTTCTGCTCAGGAGATAAATTCTCAGTGTGCCCAGAGAGATAGAGAAATATCTGCCTCTACCTAGGATCAAAGTCACAGCCTCCTGATTGTGAGGCGAGAGCGCCACCTCTAGACCTGTTCAGATACCTTTTCTTTTTCTCTTTTCTTTTTTTTTTCTTTTCCTAATTACTTGCATAGGGATTATTCTTTATACTATTTATGTTGTTTGTATTTTTTGTCATGGATTGCACCAATGAGGCTAAAACCAATTTCGCTGTATACATGATTTACAATGACAATAAAGGCTATACTATACTATACTATACTACACGGACGTGATGGCTCAGCGGCTAAGACGCTGAGCTTGTCGATCAGAAAGGTCGGCAGTTCGGGGGTTTGAATCCCTAGCACCGCGTAACAGGGTGAGCTCCCGTTACTTGTCCCAGCTTCTGCCAACCTAGCAGTTCGAAAGCACGTAAAAAATGCAAGTAGAAAAATAGGAACCACCTTTGGTGGGAAGGGAACGGCATTCCGTGTGCCTTTGGCGTTGAGTCATGCCGGCCACATGACCATGGAGACGTCTTCGGACAGCGCTGGCTCTTTGGCTTNGTAAGGTAATATAAGGTAGGCTAGGATAGGAATAAGATAAGGTAAGATAACTTTTATTGTCACTTTTTTTCAGTGAATACATTGGCACCCATTAAAAAATGAAATTATGATGCCTGCTCTCATTATTTTATTATTTATTGAATTGTTATGCAAGGAGACAAAGCAAGTAAATATAATTAAATCATGGACACATCAGAATTACACAGATTAAAATATTAAAGGCTGTACTAAAACCAGAGGGAAGAGATGGACTTCTATAGCGAGTCCTTGAGTTACAACCATGATTATGATCATCTCAATCATAATTCATGACAGTCTTAAGTCAGATCATCCACAAGACCGACCAGATTTTACAGTCAATCGTTAAGCAAATGCTGCGGAAGTCTGTTGTGACTTCAGACTGATTGTAAGTTGAGGACTACCTGTAGTAGCTCCGTTCCACTTCTTTGTGGGCATTCAAAATTTGTGATGTGGGTGTTTCCTCTTCTAACCCGTCTTCCTTCCCATTTTGAATTCCAGATCACCAGTGCATTCGACATGGAAGCCGTCACTTTCAAGAAACTGGTGAAGGGCCATGCTTACTCAGTCACCGGAGGTGAGCAGGTGAGAATCGTTAAACCGTCATAAGAACCAAACTAGAAAGCGAAGAGTAACGTCAAGCCCAAGGGAAATCAGGAGATCCAGACCATTCAAATGGATGTAAAGATTTATCATAAGTTTAAGCTCTCTACGAGAACCTGAACTACTAACAGCCAAGGGAAATTAGCGGGAGATAAGGAATTCATGGTGGGCTGGACTTAGGTCTCTTGTGGGTGCGAAGGGATTCATGACCGATGATCCGTTTGACCCTTCGTGCTCAGCTTGGCCATCTCCTACAGAAGCATAATATCACATGCCATGTACAGGTAGTCCTCGAGTTACAACATTCGTTTAACAGCCATTTGAAGTTACAGCAGCCCTGACGTAGGACCGGTCCTCATACTTATGACCGTTGCAGCATCCCCGATGGTCCCACGCTCAAAATTTGGGTGCTTGGCAACTGTTACAAAATATATTTTACAATAGTTACCGCATTCCAAGGTCATGTGATCACCCTGTGGGACTTTCCCCGCGGGCTTTCGACAAGCGAAGTTAATAAGGGAAGCCAGGTTCACTGAATGACCGTATGATTCACTTAACAACTGCAAGGATTTGCTTAACGGCCGGGGCCAAAAAAAAAAGGTTGTAAAATCAGGCACAACTCACTTAACGGCCCCCTTGCTTAGCAATTTGGAATTGCGGCGTAAGTTGAGAATTACTACCTGTAACGTGATTTTTCTCAGGAATTTATTCTTTGGCACTAAGAACTACTCCAGGGTTAAGGTTTGCACTCAGCAATCAAGATATCAACTTGCTCACTTCTGGTTTCTGCCTTAAGAATTGGACTGGCTGTGGTTTAATTGCATAAAACCACCATGATGGGAATTCAGTGACTCTTGACAATCTCTGCTTTCTAATATAGATCAACTACCGAGGACAGCGCGTCAACCTGATCCGGATCCGGAACCCTTGGGGAGAGGTGGAATGGACGGGAGCATGGAGTGACAGGTGAAACTACAGCTCCCAGCATCCTTTTGTCCTGAGGTGGCCTTGCCAATCACCAGAATGAATGAAGCAGAATTATCCATTCATTTCCATCAAAGTTCCCCAGTCTTAAAATAGAAAGATAAATTAGTATTTCTCAACCTTGGCGGCTTTAAGAGGGGTGGGCTTAGCAATAGCAGTTAGACTTATATACCGCTTCACAGTGTCTTTCCAGCCCTCTCTAAGCGGTTTACAGAGTCAGCATATCGCCCCCCACAGTCTGGGTCCTCATTTCACCCACCTCGGAAGAATGGAAGGCTGAGTTAACCCTGAGCCGGTGAGATTTGAATCGCTGAACTGCAGATAACAGTCAGCTGAAGTGGCCTGCAGTACTGCACCCTAACCACTGCGCCACCTCGGGGTTCAGCTCCCAGAATTCCCCAGTCAGCCTGCTTTAAGAGGGGTGGACTTCCACTCCCAGAATTCCTCAGGCAGCCATTTTGCATGCTGGCTGGGGAACTCTGGGAGTTGAAGTCCATGTATCTTAAAGCCGCCAAAGTTGGAAAACATTAGAATAGACCAACCCAGAGCTTATCAATCAATCCTTTTGTGTGTGTGTGTGGTCTCCCTACCTGTTCTCAAAACATCCCTGGGCATCATACTTAATGAACATTTTAATAAGCTAGAATCCGACCCAGCTCTCTGTAGTGTAGAGAGTTTTACCATTTAATTCTTATCGATAAACGATAAACTAGAAAAACCAGGCCCAATGAAATTTGGTGCTCAAGAGCTTGTTTCTGGTTTCCTTGTTTGTTTACATAACTTAAATTTTACCATCTTCTGCCAGTTTCTTTTTCTGGCAGTCCTCATTAACCATCCTCAGCCTGGCTAAAATCTGTTTTTTTCCCTCTGGTGAATTTAAGGAGCCTTTTCACAACTCTTCTTTTTATTTTGTTTTAACAGTTCTGGGGAGTGGAATGCAGTGGAGCCGGCTGTGGGGCAGCAGCTGAGAGTGAAAATGGAGGATGGGGAATTTTGGTAGGTTCTGGCTTTTTCCTGAGTTTTATCAGGACATCATTTTTAAATTTAACAACTAATGGGGAAGATGCCACCGCCGTACTGTCACATGGGGTGGTTTTTAATTTTGTAACGAGTGTTAATATTATTTTAATATTTATGATTTTTATTTTTTAGCTGCCTGGATTTGCTTTTCAGCATAAGAGGGGGCGTATGGGAGGAAGGAAAAAGGGAAGGGAGGAAGGAAAGAAAGGAAGAAGAGGGAAAGGAAGGAAGAGAGTGGAGGGAGAAGAGGAAGTAAAGAAAGAAGAGGGAAAGGAAAGAAAGAAGAGGGGAAGGAAGAGGGAAGGAAGGAAGAGGGGAGGGAGGAAGGAAAGAAAGAAAGAAGGGGGAAAGGAAGGAAGAGACAGTGGCGGGAGAAGAGGAAGTAAAGAAAGAAGAGGGAAAGGAAGGAAAGAAGAGGGAAGGAAGGAAGAGGGAAGGAAGGAAGAGGGGAGGGAGGAAAGAAAGGAAGAAAGAAGAGGGGACGGAAGGAAAGAAGAGGGGAAGGAAAGAAGAGGAAGGAAGGAAGAGGGGAGGGAGGGAGGAAAGAAGGGGAGGGAGGGAAGGAAGGGACAATTGAGATAGGTAGGTAGGTAGGTAAGTAGGTAGGTAGATAGATTGATAGATAAACAGATATAGATAAATAGAAAGATAAACAGAAAGATAAACAGAAAGATACATGATAGATAGATAGATAGATAGATAGATAGATAGATAGATAGATAGATTGATTGATAGATAGATAGATAAACAGATATAGATAGAAAGATANTAGACGCACTTGTGTTGGCAGGGTGATGTCTCTGCTTTTTAGGATGCTGCCTAGATTCACCACAGCAATCCATTGCAACTGGGGAAACCAGAGGGCATCTATCTGGCCCCTAAAATAAGTCAGGTGCCTGATGTAGTGTCTTCACACCCTGCTGGCGTTCTCAAGTTCTTCTGCCATTTAACAGCTTTGTCTCTTTCAATCTTTCAGGAAATGTGCCGGAACCCACTTTTCATCGTAGACGGCGCCACACGGACCGATGTTTGTCAGGGAGCTCTGGGTGAGTGGTGAGACCCTAACCCTAACCACAAGGGGTTTCCACATCCTTGGGATCTTTTCTGTCTCCCCACCCACCCACCCACCCAATCAGACGGGAAACGAAAAGCAGCTTAGAACTAAGGGCAGGGGGATTTCCCGACAGTGAGAACAATGAACCCAGTGGAACGGCTTGCCACCATAAATGGTGGGTTCTCCATCAGTGGTGGCTTTTTAAGAAGAGGCTGGAGAGCCATTTGTTTGAGATGGGAATAGGGTCTCCTTCCTGAGAAGAGGGGGTTGGACTAGAAGACCTCCGAGGTCCCTTCCAAGTCTGTTAACTCTGTATACAATTCCAGCCAAATGGTTATTCCAACATCTTAAAAACCTCCAGTGTTGGAGCATTCACAACTTCTGGAGGTAACACCCGTTCCACTGATTAGTTTTTCTCACGGTCGGGAAATCCTTTCTTAGTCCTAGGTTGGATCCGCCTCTGAGCAGCTTCTAACCGTTTCTTCTGGCCCCAGAAGTTGCAGGGAATTCCCCCCGCCCCCTTTCTGGTTGCTTCCACACCCTCCTCCCAATTATCTGATCAGCGGCTGCCTAGCACTGCCACCCCACCCTTTGGCACCCAGCCAACTTTGGGGCTAAAGGACAGGTTGAAGCTTGTAGCAATTCCAGACACATTTGGCAGCTCTACCACCCCTCCGTGGTCCTTCCTGTTGTGGCCCAACCGCAGAGCTGGCAGCAGATTCGGACGTGAGGAGGTNATCATCTTTGTTGCTCTTCTCTGCACTCTTTCCAGAGTCTCCACATTTTTGTTTGAACTCTAAATGGCTTGGGTGACCCGAAGATTAAGTCATAAATCATATTAACTCTCTACAAGGCTGAAGTTCACTTAACAACCATATATTCACTTAAGAACCATGGGTTTTGCTTAACAAATAGTAAAAAAAGTGTAAAACCAGCTCTAATCACATGATGACTCCACCTCCGATCCAACTCCAATCATGGTTACGAACCGCATCCCTTAGCGACAGAAATTCTGCTCCCATTCGTGGCCATAAGTTAAGGACCTTCCATATTTTTTTCTTTTCAGTTCTGATCTGAGGCCATAATAAATTCTGTCATTTTGTGCGTGTGTGAGTTTTGTGTCTGTGTGTCTGTGTGTGTGCAAGCGTGCATGGTTTGTCTGCAACCTACTAAAACTCCCTGTCTTTATTTTGGATAGTTGTGCAGTTACGCTTTCAAATTCTTTCCAGTAACCATAAGGACTAGAGGCTTGAACGTATAGATACCATTTTGTACCGAGCAATCGACAAAAGTTTTCCTACTGACTTACCCTATTTTCCCCAAAATAAGACCTCCCTAGATAATAAGCCCAATTGGGCTTTTGAGCGCATGCACTAAAATAACCCCTCCCCTGAAAATAAGCCCCTCCCCAAATATTGCAACACAGCAGCAGCGAAGAGGTGACCCCGCTCCCCGCCTCCCGCACCTCAAAAATAATAAGACCTCCCCGAAAATAAGGCCAAGCGCTTATTTCAGGGGCCAAAATAATGTCTTATTTTCGGGGAAAGGTGATAGTATCTCTTCTCTTACCTCTTTCAGGGAATTCTATTTCTTGGATAATCCACCAACATGTCGGAAGAGGTCATCGTCCCGATTTATTGCACCGGGGTCTCAGCTCAAGTCCAGAAGCAACGGGCCAAAGACCTGGGTTTGGGGAAACATGAGAACGCAGTCAAGCACTTGGGTCAGGATTTTGAGATGCTCCGCAACGAATGTCTGCGGAATGGGAGCCTCTTCAGGGACGAAACCTTCCCCGCCACTGCCTCTTCGCTGGGTTTCAAAGAACTGGGGCCAAACTCTTCTAAGGTCCATGGAGTCAAGTGGAAACGCCCAACGGTGAGTCTTGAATTTTTAGGGTATGGTTGTTGTTGTTAGTTGTGAAGTTGTGTCCGACCCATTGCGGCCCCCTGGACAACGTTCCTCCAGGCCTTCCTGTCCTCTACCATCCTCTGGAGTCCATTGAAGCTCACGCCGGCTGCTTCGGTGACTCCATCCAGCCACCTCCTTCTCTGTCGTCCCCTTCTTCTTCTTTTGCCCTCA